CATTCTGTGATTCTGGGAATCCAGAGTCTTATGATGACCCCAAACCTAGATATGGAGAGATGCTTCTCTAAAGACCCCTGGCTCTTGCGATGCTCCCCTTTGGGTACCTGGCCTTTGCTTTGATGGTACTTTGACTTTGATCATTTGCCCTGCTTTTCTTTACTTTTTTGTCTACCTGCCAACTTTTCTGCTGATCACCCCTCCTCTTTATGTACCTTTCAAAGTCCATGGGCAGCCTCACCTTTGCCTTTTCTTCCCATGCTCCTGAATTCTCTCTATTCCTGATCTCTTTCTTCTCTCTGGACGCTTCTTCCTCATCTTCAAGTTGCTCTTTGGCTCTCCCTGCTGAAATCCTAACAACACCAGACTCTAGCCCGGATGAACAATGCGTTTATTTTGACCCTATATTCACATAGGCGGAAAGAACAGCAGGTACCTTTCCAGAGTCCGGCCCTTCCCTACTCCCCTAGAGCTGTCTCTTGAGCCAGACGGACACCGCCTTTCCCGATTAAAACTTGCGAGGTCTGTTGGGTGCCACGCCGCTCTAACTGCCCTGCGTGTCGCATCTTCTCGCCTGTGCTCCTATTTGGAATCTCCACCAGGAGAGGGGGGCCTTTCACCTTTTTAGAGAAGAAGCGGCACTGGCATGTCTCAGGCTAGAGCTCTTCTTTCGGGCTCTTGTGTGTGTAGAACATTCACTGCTCTTTAGCCAACCCCAGCTTGCTGTAGGTAACTCAGAGAAAAACAAAAGCAACAGCTGAAACAATTTCCCTTTCATTGGCAATTCTTCCCTTTTCCAGCCCTGCTTTAGTGAGGAGGGGCTGCTGCCGCCCGGAGTCTCCGTCTAGCCCTGCGTCCTCCTCTACCTGCCAGCCCTCCAGAGTCTACCCAGCAAGCTCCTCTGCACCCCGTCCTTTGCAGTCCCAGGATTATTAAAGGGAATATGATTGTTTTCTTTTGCTCAGGCAGTGTGTGCGTGTGTGTGTGTGTCTGTGTGTGTGTGTGCACGCCTGCGAGCTTGAAAGGCATTGTCCTATAGATATTTTTATAACCTGCAGCAATTACAGCTGCCAGAGTGGAGACAAGCTATGACAAGTTGATTTATGTGTACACTGTATGTGTATGCAGGAGGGAATGGAGGATGGAGAGGGAGACAGCAGGGGGGTGGCGGGGAGAAAGTGGAGGTGGGCGCTCGTTAGGAATCTGCTTTCCAGGAGGTAGAAAGGAAGTTATGTCTATAAAGAACACAAATAATGAAATTGCTCTGACTGTCATTCCTTTTTCATTAACTCGGATATGCTGGGAAAAACAAAATAAATCCAGCAGTTTTTATGAAGCAAGAGATGGGATATAAGATAAGCCACTAAGTGTTTGGTTATATTTAGGGATTAGGGGATGAGAAGGGAGTTGACAAGTGATTTTGATCTTCATCTAGTCAAACCACTTCAGTCAGCAGTTTCAATAAAATGGATTCTGCCTTGTTAATTGTGCGGGCATCTCTGACCTCTCACCAATTTCTAAACTTCCATTTTTGAGTAAAGTTTGGATCCCTGGGTCCACAAAGCAGCTGTGAGGTTGCCAGTGGCTTTTCTTTGTCCAGCCTGAGCGTTACCTGATCTCTGCTGGGTTTTCTGCCCGCCAGGTTGGGAGGCTGCAGCTCACCACTCTCCCTTCCCCCGCCAGAGACAAAGATGGTGTGAGCGTCTTAGATCAACCGCATGCAGACTGGAATAAACTGAACATCTTACAGAGCCTGTAAGAAGAGTTATTTTTCCGCCCAGCTATAATAATGAAGCAGTGGCAGGCAAAATGTATTAATAAAGCATCTTTCACCTTAAGTGGATTTCGAAGTATTTTACTGTAGAGTTAATCATGTATGTAGGCCCCTCGGGAAGGCCTGTTGTTGTCATTACCCACATTCCTAGATGCAAAAACTAATGCTCATTTGTACCTACCTGGGAATTAGATGCAAGAGCCAGGGTGAGAATTTATCATGAAAGGACTCATCCCTGCCATTCTCAAGCCTGGAAGGAAATGACTCCAAAGCCCAGAATGAGTCCCCCTTCCTTCTCCACTGCTGGTGTTTGTTTCCACTTGCGGTGGTGGGACCTGTTTACAAAGAGGAGGCTTGGAGGGGAGCAGGAGTGGTGCTTAAAATGGATGTGAATGACTACAGGTAATTCCTTGGCCTCTGCATAAGGAGAACCCCAAATTCAGCAGACTGAGGTCAGCAGTCATGACCTCACACCTGACGTCTGCTCATATAATATCTTAACTTGGTGAAATCACGCAACTTCCTACTTCCACAACTCCCATTGCAAAGTGAAGGTAAAGTGGGGACTTGTCAGAACGGATTGGTACTAAAATAGGTAAATTCTCCTCCTGTTCTTTCAAAAGCATAAACAAAACCTCCTGCACCCTGAAGACATCATTTTTGTTTTTCTTGATAGTAAAGTCATTCTTTGTGGTCATAAGTTGACAATTGATTTTTTTTTGGTCCCCACTGGACAAAAGTAGCGATGGATTTCCCTGAGAATTTAATATTGGAAAAGTCAACAGAGGAGACGAGGGGAAAATGGGCGAAATGATGGATTAATTGAGATCTCCAGTGTGAGTTGCTTGACTTTACGTTGTTGTACACTCTCGGGTCACCTGTTAAAAGAGGAAGCCATGCCTCCTCAGTCTTTCTTTGTTACCTTGGAGCGTGGCTTCCACATCTGCACACCCACCTCCATCCCTTCCAATCCAGGGCAGTTGGAGTGACCGGGGTATGATGAGTGAGATGCCTGTGCGTTACTCACCCGCGTTTTATCTACACGTAAGTGGGGTGACCAGTTGAAAGATGCACGCACTCTTATGGCACCAGGACGGTTACAGCGATTCAGTTAGGATGATTCAGTCTCTTTGGTGGTGGCTGGATGGCTTTTGGGAAGAACATTTGTTGTTGTTGTTGTTATTTAACAGTTGTTTTAAAAAAGAGCTTCCTGGTTGGATTTGAGAGAGTCTAGGGGAAAAACAGAGCCACGGCTGCTTCCTCTCTGTCCCCAGGGAGAATCTGGGTCAGTGCAGGGAGCTCAGACAGGAGTCCCTGAGCAGAGAACGTGTTGGTGTTAGCACGTGGGGTGGGCTGTGCCGTTCTGGGCTTCCCCCCTCCCTCAGGAGCCAGGCCCAGGCTGGAAGGAACTGCGTTCCATCAGAGCTGAAGTGAGAGGAAACATGCAGATGTAGGCACAGAGGGACCCACAGCAGCCAAAGAGGAGAAGTGACAGCAACTGAGGCCAATGCAATTTTTCCCTGGGTTTCAAGAATCTGAAAAACACACCTCTTAAGATGCAATCAGCTCTGCAGGAGTGTGAAGCCCAGGACACCTGGGAATCCTCTGTATCAATAAAGCCAGGGGCTCACACTCATTCATCTGAGTGAGCACTTTGCAGGGCTAACATCTTTTAATACCGACAAAACAAGAATAAAGAATGTAAGTCAGTGTCTGAACTCGACCAAAATTTTGATGCGGTTTTGCCAGTTTCACACACTAAGAGGCTTCTGTGATTTTGCATTTCTTTTATATATGGAAGATTTCTATTTAGAATGGTGTTTGAAGTAGCTTTTGGGGGGTGGCGGTGGGGTGGGCGTTGCCTGTTGAATAAAAATGAGATGATTCTAAAACGTCCTCCCAACACTTTAAATTTACTCTAAATGCTAATGTATTAATCTGATAATTTTAAAGGTGCACGCATGCATGCTGCAGAGTTTTCTTTTCCTAGTTAATTAGTTTGTGACCCTTATTAAGACGTCTTGGGCTTATTGAGGCTGTGTAGTAACTTTGCATTTCTTCTTAATTTGGAAGTGACAGCTCTTCAAGGGGGGAAGTGGTTAAACTCCTCGCCTGAGCTCCTGCGGCCGCGGCGCGGCGCGGCGGGGGTTAAGGTGGGCGCCTGCGCCCCGCTCCCGCCGCCCGCCGGGATGCGCGCGGTCCGCCAGCTCGCTCGGCGCCTGCACGGCGGAGAGCTGCGGTCAGTGATGGAGCTGCTGCCATGACAACCCCGGCGGTCTGGGCCCGCGCGCGTCGGGGCTGCTCCCGGGAGGCCCGCGGCGCGGAGGCCGGGGGCGGCCGCTGAGCGTGGCGTCCTCGCGGCTCCGGGGCCGGCAGCCCCTCGCCTTCCCCAGCTAGCGAGCGAGCGAGCGAGCGTCCGCCGCCGTGCGCTCCCGCCTCAGCCGCCGCCGCGGAGACCGCCCAGCCGAGACCGGCCGCATCGCGGAGGCTGCAGCGCGCATTTGGTCTCGGACGAAGTTGACCGAGGCGGCTGCTGCAGCATCCCCGGTCCGGATCGCGCGAAGCCCGGCGTAGCCTCTCCTCCTGGCTCACCCCTGCGTCTCCCGCGTGTTCCACTTTCCGGCTCTGCTATTGTTACAGACTGGTTCCTGCTGGCTACCCTGCCTCTGAAACTTAAAAAGAAAGTGTTGGATTTGCCCTTGTTGGAACTGAGGAATTCAGACCATCTCTGGGTAGCCGGATCTAACCCACTCCGTGTCCCCTTTTGGTACCAAAGTGCTTACTCCTCTCCAAAGTGCCATGCCTGAGCTGTTAACGGGAGGAAGGGGCTCCTGAGACGCGCCCGCACCTTTGCACCTGTCTTTGCTCTTCGCCTCTCTCCGCCACCTTCCCGGCTGAAGCAGCACGGAGGGAGCCCCCTTTCGATGTTCTCCGTGGAAACCGCTTCTCCGAGGCTGGAGCGCTGAGGCTGGTTTTGGGGAGGAACACTAGACTTGGAGGAGTCTGCGCGCTTTTCTCCTGCCCGCGCCTCCGGCGCCCCGTGCTCGCTCCTCCGCCAAACCCCACCCCACCCACTTCCTGTGCGCGCCCAGGGGGCGTGTGCCGAGCGGCTGCCGGAGTTCTGGGAAGTTGTGGCCGTCGAGGATGGGGGTCTGTGGGTACCTGTTCCTGCCCTGGAAGTGCCTCGTGGTCGTGTCTCTCAGGCTGCTGTTCCTTGTACCCACAGGAGTGCCCGTGCGCAGCGGAGATGCCACCTTCCCCAAAGCGATGGACAACGTGACGGTCCGGCAGGGGGAGAGCGCCACCCTCAGGTAGGGAGCCGCCATTCTTCTCTGAATCGACAGTGATTTGTGTAGGGGATGGGGGGAGAGGGATAGAGGTGCAGGTGTGTTTTCTGCAGCTGCCGGCGGGGAGGTCGCTGCTTCCCTGGGCTGCACAATTCATGGCTGAGCTGGGTGCTCTGCCCCGGAAAGGTGGTGGTCACAGGGAAACGCTCAGAGGTTCCAGAGATGAGCTGTTTCCCCCAGACTGGCCTCCTAGGCTCAGGACTTGGTAAGCAGGAGGGGAGGCTGGCCAGGGGGTCTCTGAGATGGAGGCCAGCGGCCTGAGCACTGTCTGTACCTGAAACCAGTGGCCGTGGTGACTGGGGGCCCGGCTGGGGCTCAGCGTGAACAGTCTTGTCTGGTGTTAATGAGTCCCGAAGGCCGGGTCTGGCTTTCTGTGAATGCCATCACTCTGCCTGTGCCCCGGGGTGTCGCCCCGCTCCTGTACTCTGGCAGAGCTACTGTTTTGTCCTGGGTCTGACTGTGTCTGAGCTTTCCTGGGGTGTCTTCATGCCACGAGCTGGTAGCCAGAGGGACGTGCTTTCTCTGTCTGAACACGGCTTTCTGAGATTGAAGCCATGGATATGAGTGTGATTTGTCTGTGGAAAAGATCGTTTACTTTGGTTAACTATGCTGTCCACTAAAGCAATATATTCAAAACTCATCTCCCAAATGGAAACTGGGTCTCAGTGTTGGCTTGGGTCCTGCTTGACGTCTGGGGTTAAGGCTGACAGGAATTGGAGAAGGAGAAGAAGAATCTTGACTATGTTTTGAGTAAGGTAGGGTGAATCTGTCTCCCTTTCCCCCCGGCCTCCTGAAATGCTAACTCAGTTTCCAGTGTCTACAAACCATACCACTCACAGAAGGGCAACACAGAATTAGTGATTGCAATGGGAGATCTTAACTCTCTGGAATTTCTGAGAGTCAGCTGGAGGTAGAAGTTAAGAAGATCCATGGGAAGAATGTATGCCTGATTAAATAAAGTTTTCCAGACTGGGTCATTGAGCTGACTGTAAGGCAGGATGGCAGTATTCCCATCCTTTGTACGTGAAAATTCTTGGAGAGAGAACCTTGGTGTTGGTGCCCACTCTTTTACACCTTCTGTGACTGTTCTTCTAAGGTGGCTCTTCTAAGGTTTATGGATGGTGCATGTAAGGCAATACCCATGGGATAGAAAATGTTGCAAAAGGGACACTGGGTTACAGAGCTGACTTGTCAGGACATTGCCAAAGGAAGCGTGTGATTTAAGGGCCTGTCATAGTCTGCAAGCACCCATGCTCCTTTGTCTTTGGCGAGCTAGCGCTCATGCCCCCAGGGTACTCACTGGTTCCGGAAACCCACCTCTTCCACTGCACCCTGAGTTAGGGACTATTTTGAGCAAAGGTTGAATGTCTAACTGCCTCACACCTCACACCTGAAATAACTGTGTGTCTGCTTTATAAAGGATTTCGTGGAAACTTGAAATATGCCCTGATTTCAGACTATTTAGAAAGAAAAACAAATCTATAAGCAATGTAGTCGATGGCATTTAGTGTCCTCTGGATGCCCCCTTTTCCCTAACCCTTGGCTGCAAGATATAGCCCTCAAGAAACAAGATGGAGACAGTCTCATACTGAGAACATTTTAGAAACGGATGGGAAGGTACTTTCAAGGAGAAGGAGGAAGGCGGTCAGCTCTGTAGAGATTTGGGGATAAAGAAGTAGCCACGGGGCCTTGACAGACTTAGCTGCCGTATCATAGGAACAATGAGGGGATTTGGGCAGGGAGGGATCTGGTCTTCAGAGGGCAGTCCCCAGGCTCATGCGAATGAGGACTCTGCTGGATCTGTCAGGTGCTCAGCTGGGGCCTGGAGCAGCTCCTCTGAAAAATCGCGTTATCGTGTACTGGCTGTCTTCTCTTTCTTTGTCTTTGCTTCCATGCCTCTTCCTGACTCACTCCAGGCCCCTCTCCTTGTCTCTCGTGCCCTCAGGTTTGTTTGCATTGTCACATATGCTGTAGACTCACTGGGCTTGACTGGTTGTAGATGGAGGGAGTGGGATATGGTGGGGCTTTTTCAGCCCAGCCCTGGCATAAAAAGGCCCTCCTGGAACATCTCCTGACGTCCAGGGCCAGCCACTGAGATTGACTGTCTTCCCGACAAGTAGGAGGAAGACCCTCCCAGTGGAGGGAGCCCTACAGGGCAGGGATTAGAGGAGCTGGGATCTGCGTGACACCAACCTGTTGGCCATGGGCCTAATTTAGGATGTGAGCGGGGCAGCAGGTGGGCCGTGCAGATGGCACTCAAGCCTCCACAGGATGGCCATCGTCCTCCCCAGGCCCTCCTGCACCAGACAAGGAGGGGCCCCGTGTTGGGCTGCACTTCTGTGGAGCGGAAAAGCCCTTAAACCCTCAAACACAGGCTCTGCATTTCGTGATGCTGTGTGCAAAGAAGCAAGTAGGAATTTCAGAATGTATTTTGTTTGCATAGAAATTGCTAAATTTGCACATAACCTGATTCCAGGTTGCAGCAATCGAGTGGTTCAGGGCTCTGGGTTATTTCCCTTTTGCTTTTATTGTGTGTATGTGGGTCGTCTCTTCCTTAATTGTCTTCCCTCCCCTTCCTTCTTTCTTTCCTCCCTCCCTTCCTTCCTTCCTTCCTTCCTCCCATCCTCACCTCTTTCTTTTTCGTTCAGCATGTGACCAAGCTACACAGACCACAGCCGTCCCTGCTCTGCCCTGAGAACCACCCTCTCTCTGTCACCGCAGGTGACCCTGAGGTTCATGCTTGTAGTTTTCGTCTCAACCAGCAGAGGACTTTTTTGCTCTAATTTCATTTGATTCTGCTTTGTTCTCACCAGTTTCATTTTTTGAGGATCTTTTGCAGTTCCCAAAGAACGAATGCTTCAGCAGCAGATTCTAATGTGAGGAAACTTTTTAGAATGTTTTATCTCCTCCAGTTAACACTAATGATCCTCGTAGACATATCGGGAAGCCTTTCACCTAATACGGCATCCACAGTCTGAATAGAATTACAGACAATTTGCAGTCTCCTAGTCTTTCTGCCCTCCTGCCAGTAGTCTGTACACATATTTTTTTTTAAAAAGGGTGAGGTTTCATAAAATAGAATATGCAATAATAATAACATGAACCGAAGTTTCTCCAGTACTCACTGTGTCCTAGGGAGTATTCTAAGTGTTTTACACACTATCTCACCCGTCATCCAACCTCATAACATTAACATTTAACCCTCATACAACCCCTCTGGTTGTAGGTGCTATGATTATCCCATTTTACAGATGAGAAAACTGAGTTTACATAATTTGATTAAGGTTGCACAGCTAGGAGATTTGGAAGCCAGATTACGAGGAGCAGTAATAATAATGTTGAATGATGAATGGTACTATCAGTTATTGGTTAGTCACAATTAATCCTCGCCACAGCTCTCTGAAATAGACTAGATTATGTCTGTTGTATAGAAGAGGATGCTGAGGCCTGGAGAGGGGAATTTACCTAAAATCACACAAGTTAGCGCGTGGCCGAGCTGGAATGCTGACTCCTTGGCTTTTTGCAGGGCGAGCTTTCCCCACCGCATTCTGTGTTCTCGCAGCTCCTTGCGGAGACTTGGCATCGTCTCTCCGCTCATTTTGTCTCGCACCCTGCCTTGCAATGTTGTTTATCTCTCTGTTTTCCTTCTCCACGTGGATGGGGAGCTGCTAGCTCTTGGAAGCGGGGATCCCGCCCTGTGATGCCCTGAGCACCGTGTGCTCCCACATGTTTACTGAACAGATGAGATGACTGAAAACCAAACAGAAGTATCCCCTAGCCTCTATACAGCTGGGCTCGACCAACTAAGATGTGCGGAGTGGTTCTTACACGAAGGGCATGAGCTGGGTGTTGGTTGTGGAAAGGCTTGAGGCTGAGGCGTCTCACCCCAGGGCCTTGGGTCCAACTCAAAAGGCCAGGCTGTGGACGCAGAGGTTGAAGAGGTCATCAGCCGTGGAGGCAGTTGTGCCCATCATCGCGTGGGTGGGTGGTCTTCCGGTGGTCAGAGAAGAGCGCCCTCTCTCCCAGCGGGTGGGCTGCATTCCTCTGATGGGGGCAGGAGAGCCTGAGAGGCCCGGCGCGTGGGTCTCATTAATTAGAGACTGTCACTAAATGTCAGCACGTCACTGGATAACTTTGATGGAGGCATTTCATGTTTTCATGGATTCCCCAAATAAGGCCGCAACCAGTAAAGTGAATTGTTTCCTTGGGGGTCATCTGCTAAGTGCTTTTTTTAAAAATATGAGTTAAAAATGAAAGGTCTGAGAAATGCACAAGAAGGGAGTTGGGTTTCGGTATAGCAGTTCCACGGAATAGCAGAGAACAATGTGGTTTCCATACTTGAGAAAAGCCATGGGGGCCCCTTGCAGCTGTAGGAGACTGTGGCATGCTATTCACATCATGGAAAGCATTTAGCATTTCGTTTTCGAAGCTGATGGATTCTCTGTTAGTCTCTCCAGCTGCTCCACGGCCTCTTGAGGCCACAACTCCACCTTCTTCAGGTTTCTGTCCCTAGTTCCTAGGGCATGACTTGGACCAGGGCTTGTGCTAATAAACTCTGAGTGCGGGTCCCCCTCTTTCCTTCACTCACTCTGCCGCAGACATCCTGACCTTCCTCCCGTTTGGTGAACACAGAAAATGTACTCTTGCTACAGAGCCTTCCCATGCATGGCCCCCACTGTGGAGGTACCCCTCCTCCAGATCTTCCCATGGGCAGCTCTTCATCATTTTGGCCTTGGCTCAGGTGGAACCCCCTCCCTGAAGCTGCTCCTGACACCCAAATAAAAGTGATCCCCTACCACTTCCACCAGGCTTACACTGGCATATCATCCTGGATTATTTCTTCAGAGCGATCATCTGTACCTGAGATTTTCCCATTCATTTATTTGGTTAGTTGCTCCCGATCTGTCTTCCCCAACTGGACTGTAAGTTCCTTGAGGATGAGTGCCTTCTCGGTCTTATTCTGT